TCGCTGCATTGCGCGAGTACCCTTTTAGTAAATAAATAACTATAAAAGTATAAATCGTAAATATTAAAAATATTTTTTCACAATATATATAATATATAATAATATAATTAAATCAAAAACTATTCAATATAGAATGTATTAACGAGAAGATTATAATGGTGTAATTTGTTAAAATAATTTTTTTAAACATGTTTTAATTGATATACGATTATGTATGTTAATTTGATAAAGGTTTAAAATGAAACATTTAAAAGTAAATGACGTAAAATATATAAATTAATTATAAGGGTATAAAGTGTAAATTTAAAATTATAATTTTAAAAAAATCGGTTGTAAGAGGATGAGTGTATGTGAGGGGGTGAGTGTATGTGAGGAGAGGAGGGGGTGAAAAAGTGAATATAAAGGGTATTTTGGTCATTTAGAATTTTAAGACTTTAAGACTTTTGCTAAATTTGCTTAATAAGATAGTATAGATGACAAAATACCCTACATTTAACTAGACTTAACAGAAAATTTAATTATTGTTAGACTAAGGGACCAAAACCGTTGTGCAATGATAAATTTAAGGGAGCAAATCCGAGTTTTCAAAGTTTACTCTAATAAAAATAGTATGTAATGTTTATGTTTCTAAATGCTCCATTTTTTATCCATGTCCATGTCATTTTAATTGTTTAAACAACTTTTTAATGCTGTAATTTTGTTATAAAAATTATTTATTTATATTCTAAATATTTAATAATAAAATAAAAAATATAAGAAGTGTTTGAAACAACTTTTTTAAAAATCAGATAACATAAAATTTGAATAAAAAATACCATTTTACCAACCGGTAGTCCAGTAGTTGCAACAACAACACAGATGTTCACACCATCTTCAAATATTGCACAAAACTTATACTATTTTAATCTAAAATTTATGCGAGATACTTTTTAAATCTTACCAGATATTAAAATATATACTGAAAACATGCCGTTTGAACCATAATTCTTTTATCTTATTATTTTGTTAAAAGTTAATATTTATGATGAGTAATTAACGATAACAATGATAGACATATGAACGTATTAATTTATCTTATGAAAAAAATTAAATATATATGGACAATATTTTTAATCAAAAATTCTTATTACTACGAACATATTATATTACTTTTGATACAATATTAGGAAAGTGTTCGGGCTTACTTATAAAAATAACTTATTGACTTATTCCGGTGTGATACTGATAATAAGCATTTTTGAGTGTTTTGGATAAACAATTTATACCGGTGGCAAACCGGTAATAAGAAGTTTTTGAAGAAGTTAAACTCTTTTGACTTATAATAAGTTGATAAGTGTTTTATAGAAAAGCATAAATTGTTTCAAATAAACATTCCCAAACACACTCTAAGACATCTTCAACTGATTAACAACTTAAAAATAGAGCCTAAACCCCTTTTTGTAACATGAAATAAAATAGAGGAGCTCAACTTGACATGTAATTTATTGTTATTTTTGTTTTTACGAATAAATCTATTAAAAACCATTCATTTAAATTAGGGGTATATTAATTTTGAATTTTTTTTTCTCTGTTTGATTTATCAAATATCTTTTTTGGTTTTTTTTTTTTTTTTTTTTTGGTATTTTAGTTTTTCTGATTTAATCAACTATATATTTTTTTTATAAAAGAATTAATGCATTAAAATTATATTGTTTTTGTTATTGTTTATGATAAAATAATTAAATGTTTTTCATACAATTCGTTGTTCATATTTTTTGTTATTATAATTTTAGTTTCTTATTAATTCGATTTCTGTCATTAATGTTATTCAAGTACAAGTCGTTGAGTACCCCACACATATATGATAGTTTTTTTAATTCTTTTTTTCTTCATTAGGGACTAAACGAGTAAATTTTGTATAGGAATAAACAAATAACTATGTTAAGCTATTTTTGT